TTCAATCATGTGTTGATGTTCTGGTTCTTACTTAGTCAATCTTTCCTTCATGTGCATGTGTAACACTAGTTCACTTCTTCCTTTTGTCGAGTTCAGACATATGTTGATGTTCCGGTTCTTACTTAGTCAATCTTTCCTTCATGTGCATGTGTTCCATTAGTTCACTTTTTCCGTTTGTCAAGTTCAATCATGTGTTGATGTTCCGGTTCTTACTTAGTCAATCTTTCCTTCGTGTGCATGTGTAACACTATTTCACTTCTTCCTTTGGTCAAGTTCAAGCATGTGTTGATGTTCCGGTTCTTACTTGGTCAATCTTTCCTTCATGTGCATGTGCTCCGTTAGTTCACTTCTTCCGTTTGTCAAGTTCAATCATGTGTTGATGTTCCGGTTCTTACTTAGTCAACCTTTCCTTCATGTGCATGTGTTCCACTAGTTCACTTCTTCCTTTTGTCAAGTTCAAGCATGTGTTGATGATCCGGTTCTTACTCGGTCAATCTCTCCTTCATGTGCATGCGTTCCATTAGTTCATTTCCTCCGATTGTCAAGTTCAATCATGTGTTGATATTCCGGTTCTTGCTTGGTCAACCTCTCCTTCATATGCATGTGTTCCACTAATTCACTTTTACACTTTTGTCAAGTTCAAGCATGAGTGGATGTTCCAGTTCTTACTTTAGTTGTTCTTTCTCTAAGGGATGGGTGGCCGACATTGGGCTGCTATTACGGGGTGATGACTTGATCAGGACTAGGAGATTCTTGCCTTCTCTCTCTCTCTCTCTTTCTCTCCTTCCTTCTCTCGCTCTCCCCCTATCCCTTTCCCTTCTCTCTCCCTCCCCCTCTTTCTCCCTCTCTCCTCTTCCCCCTTGCCTTTTCTCTCTCCCTCTCTCTTCCCCTCTCTCTTCCTCGCATCATCATCTGGCCCTCTCTCTCCCTTCCCCTAACTTAGCATATGACTAACCCTTCTCCCCCCCTCACTTGGAAAACATTGCCAGGGCACGAGCGGAGAACGAAATCAGACCTCACTTGGTGGAGAAAGAGGACAAGGGGGGGGTAGCTTGTCCCTTGTGCCACCAAGAAGGCAAGAGAGAGGACGTCCAAAAAAGGAAGTGGGAGAGGCGGAATCCGAAAGAAAGCATAAGTTGAAAGTGAGGTCAGTTTGACTCAACCATTTCCCCGACTGCATGACTATGAGAAGAGGATGGGCTGATTGAACAACAAGGAGGGAACAAAGCACAGCCAAAGAGCATGGAAAAAATAGGCATGTAGGAAGGGCTATGTGTTGACCCCCTTCGAGGAACATTGTATGGATCTTCTTGCTTGTGTGGGATTGTGCAGGTGAGTAATGGCTAGAAATGCCTCGAGCGGGATAGGGCGAGAGGAACTGGGCACCAAGAGGGAAAGGGAAGAGGGACAAAGGGGCTATGGGACCCTTAACATAGAGCCAAATCATGAAAATGACTTTTGCACTTGAGACATGGAAGTGTGATCGGGAGTGCAATCGTACCAAGGAAAATGTGATGTTGTCTGTGCATGCATATGAGGACCCCGAAAAGACTAAGGGGCCTACTTAAATAAGGTGGGAAGCAAATTGTGAGATCCGATGGATGCGTAGAGGCGAGAGGAAGGACGACCCCGCTGCGCCCCGATGACGCCATATAGCCAAAATGCCTAGGGAAATGGTGCGTGGCCTAAGGATGACGCTTAGCCTACACACAAGAGAAGAGAAAGGCTCAAAGAACCCCTGGACTGCCTGCGTATTGGAAGGAGCAATTGCTTGAGAACACTATAAAGAATCAAAAAAAAAATCATCAGCGTTGCGGAGCGACCAGCGAGACTACCACCCCGCGTGAGGACTGAGCTACATCCCCAATGTCAAAGCTCTCTCGCGTGATGGCCCACCCCCATCCATCTCAAAGCACTAGGTGGGGGTGACCTTGGGACGAATGGTCCGCGCCCTGAGCATGAGTGTGGGCGGGCCGAGCCGACTGGGATCCGCAGTGGGGTCGACTAAGGCTCGAAAGTCTACCGGGGTTTGGCCCTACAAAAATGGTGGAGGTGCCGGGTAGGGGGTTAAATTGACCCTTGCGATTCCGATGGGGGCGCCTGACGCATTGACGTGTACACAACCCAAGATAAGGAAAATGGACTTGTGTTTGCTCTTTCCCTTGTGAGAAATCAGATTTGAGAGTGGCTGGGCGCATGGCATGGCCAGACCTGGAGGTATAACATGCATGCTATGCACTTGATCAGCCTTTCCTTTGAGGAATGGCTCTAGCCCTCCTTCGTCCGGTGCTGGTGTTCGCCAGTCCGGGGAAGCCTTGGGCACGTCGCAGGTCGACCCTTTCTCTTTGTATGAAAGAAGAGTTCCGGTTACCTGGCAGGCGGTTGGTGCTTGGCTTAGGCCAGGTTCCAATGAAAATCCCATGGAGGAGTGATCTGACCAAATAGGTGTTTTCCCCTTCTTCTTTGARCCCAGCGGGCTCATGCACTTTGCACTCTTTTTTTTAATGATTGAAGGAACCAATATGAACACAACGGGTCATAAAGAAAGAACAATCTTACCCTATGAAAGGACAGACAAGTGAAGAGAAAGGAAATGAAGGGAGTTGCTAAACTCCAAGGAAAACTAGCTCACCCTTTAAGATTCTCACGAGAAGAAACCAACCACTATGTATGAAAGTAGGGGGAGTGACACTCATGGTCCTGAGAGAAAATCTGTGAGTTATGGGTAGGAAGCGCTGGGTGCATCAAGGGAATGACACTTGTACTATGTGTGTCCCACTTGGGACTTGTGTTTGCATGATGAGATTCGAGCGTCCTGCCTTTCGGAAGGAAAGGATTGGTCTGCACCGGCCAGTGCGGGTTGCGAAATGTCGTTCTCTTTGCAGGCTGCCGTTTGTTCGTATGCGGGGGTCAGGCCACAGAGCTGTCTAACGGGAGTTTGTCACGTCGAGTGCTTATTAGCATCCTCGTCCGCGCGGTGACGGGCTTCGACTCGATTGATCTGTCGGGCGAGGTGTGAAACATTCCTCAGGCGGGGCCTAGCCTGTGGATTGACGGAGGGAGCACCACTGCATGGGGGCAAAGACGGAGCTTGGGAGGCGACCAGTAGCTTCTCGTAGCATGGTTTTGGGAAAGGCTGATTCTTGTCGGACCGATGGAAGTGA